AATAATACAGTTTCAATCGAAATTCTTGAGGATATTCATTGTATAATTTAAGTTGTAACAAGGTGTTATTTGCTAAAACATTGCTTCCGCATTCAAGGTTTTAGCATCACCTAAAATTAGACTAAAACAATGCCAATAAAACAATACACACTAGAGCAGGTTGGAGTACCTTTGTAAATCTGAACTTCACAATGAAACGTAACATTCCAATGTGCCTACAACTAGACATGTTTATCCGTGTGAACCACCTCCGATGGCAAATGGTTCAGAAGCACAAATAAGAAGTGCGCACAGAAGCACTCAGAGTTACATTCTTGGAATGACATTGAGAGACAGAGTAACACGTGGATCAGAGAATACACTTTAGCAAGTTACATCAAACAGATACAAGTAAGCAGGCTTGGCCAGGCTACGGAACGAGAAGGGATGATGGAATAATCCACGATGGCCAATGCACATTGACCATGGTCGATAACAATAGCGAGGTGGCAGCCAAGGGAGGGAACGCGCCCTGAAGTACGTCCACCATGGAGATGGAGTAATGACAGCAGCTCGTGTGCAGGTGCGAAGTGGATTAAAACTTCGCATGGTCGTGACTACGGATTGCAAAGACCTTCACCCAGTAGTGAGATGATCATGGCGAGCATATTTTCAAGGGATACATAAATTAATAATTACACTTATGATCCAAACCAATTACATTAATTAAAATTAAGAAGCAAATAGATATAACAACACAACTCCGAAACAATACATTTATACAAGTGATTTCTAAATGTACTAAGCACTACAAATGTTTTATGAAGAATGTTTTGCAGGGAAATCTTCAGTAAGAGGCAGCTCGTATAAATGTTGGACCACACGCGACGCCGCTCGCGTGCAAGGGGAGGCCGTTGTGAGCCGCCTCTAAACTGTTGCCTGTCCCTCGCAGTGTTCGTGCCCAGGGGCATCTGTGGAATGCCAGAGCAGAAGCCTCGCGTCTGTGCCTGCGGGAATCCCCACTTCAACGCGAGAGCTGCTTTTGTTCACAAATCAGATCACGAAGCTCGAGCCCGGCGTGTTTGACAGTCTGACGGCACTGGTGGAGACACGAGACACTGAGGCTCCTGCCATTGCCACTGCGATAGTGATTTGTTACGAATAATTACATCAAAACAAAGATCCCCCACATAGCCTCATCAACCTTTTGGGGCAAGTGATGTGAGCGAGCACCTATGAAGACCAGCACGGTAGACGAGGGGGTGGTCAGATAGCACGACGCTCGCCCGCATTTGTATCCCGAGTGGCGATGTTTACACACCACACCAGGTACTTATTTCAGGCTGAGCCATGCAATTGCATCGCTGCACCTTATTCTGTTACTCCTCGCTGGAGAGATTGACAACTGACGCGGGGCATTGAGCGCCGCCAGCGCTGAGCGCTTTGCCCGAGTTCGGATCGAGCCTCGTGTCTACAGCACGCGATGAAAGAGCAAACAAACCAATCTCTTCAACTGGTTTAGGTCCAGGCCGACATGAGTCAGTGTCGGCAACTTCCCTGCGCTTGCGGGCAACTCCGTAAATGTATTATCACCCAGGAAAATCTCCCGTAGACTCACCAGCCACGTCGGGTGCTGTATTCATTGGGTCTGAATGTGTTCCTGAAGTCACAGCCTAAGTCGACTCGACGATGCCTCGTGTAACTTTACAAATTGCTTGTTGATACCGCCTTGGCAAGCAGTGGTACACAAGCACAGATAACAAAAAAAAACTCACACACACGCTCCCCTTCTTCACGTCTCGTAAATACACGTGCCCGCAACATTTCATATTTTATTTTCCCTTCAAGGCAAGTGCGCTTTGACGAATGTCTAGAGTTTGTGAATTTTCAGTTAATTTCCAGTCCTGTGTACAGTATTTCATTGAACAATGTTCTTAGTCTATTCAACTAAGGCGATAAAATGAGTCCACTCTTAGTTGTTTAATATTGGTGTGGGGTGACACTCACCCCGCCCCCCTCCCACCAGCGTGGTGAAATATGGTCACTTTATCGAGCAGTGGATAGACGCAGAGGCGGAGCCAGGATTTTCAGGTAGGGGGGCAACTCCTCCAGCAATGAAAAATGATAGAGGAGTTTGTTAGTAACTAAGGACTTGTCCCTTGCTTTTTATTCGACGCGTGTGCAGCGATGGCGCATGGCCTGGAAGTCGAATTAGAACCGCGTGTGATCAGCATCGCGCTCGCTGAAGGTGAATGCCTTCAGGGAATTCGTGTACTGTATACACGCAACTGCGCACAATTCTGCGTCACTTATAACTGCTTTTCCGTTACTTATTGGCAATTATGGACTCAGACACGTAATAATATGCTAGACAGTGGCAGTGGGGGTCGCAAAATGCCGATTTATTACTAATAAACCACAATGATCCGATCGAAATTAGAGATTTCTATCGGATCATTGGGTGGGGGGAGGGGGGCACGTGCCACCCCACCCACTGGCTCCGCCACTGGATATACGAAGGACTTTGAATTATTAATTTGATAATTTTTAGAACATCACCAATTGCTCACAAGCTTGATGGTGTGAAATAAAGGTAGACAATGCTCTTTGGAGTCGTTTTTACATTCACTCTGCTAGAGTCTTCCGAAACAGCAGAGACCGAATGTCTGAGGTTGCTGCGCAGTGAGGAACTCGCGTCTCTCCCCACTGGGGTGTTTGACAAACTGACCCAGCTCACTAATCTGTATCTGCACAACAACCAGCTGAAGGGCGTTCCCAGGAGCGCGTTTAACAAACGGAGCCAACACTGCCAGTCACGGACTCTGCTTTGTTGCTGGGAATAGGGATAGAGATGACGCTCAGCACGAGTAGCGTTCAGTTGATAAAGCTACCGCGTTATTGAAATCCACAGTCATCATCATCATCACCGTCGTTATGGTGTCCTCTAGTGCTTCAGGTTAGTCTGCAGTGTAGCTGAACATTCGTGAAATTAAATGAGTGAATGTTGAAAATAATTAGAGCTGGTATTTATCGTTTACAGAAACTAGCATGTGCTGTGCGGGTTTATGTTAGTGCGGCAACAAACAAAAAAATAACAACCACACGACAACAAAGACAAAGATTCCCGTATAACCTTAACAGACTGTTGCGGCAAGTGCTGTTAGCGAGCACCTATGAAGGCCGGCACGGCACACGATGGGGTGGGTGGCAAACACAAAGCCCGGCCTCCTTTGTCTCCCTAGCGACGGTATTTACACATCATACCAGGTACTCATTTGAGGCTGAGTCGACCTAGGGGAGGCCCAGAACCGGTTCGTAGGGCAGCGCGCTAATCGCTACACTACTGATCGAGTAAAAATGTTCCAGAGGGAATGCGAGGCGAGCTCTGAACACCGTGAGGGTCGTTGTACTGCACCGCACAGACAGCGGGCACGCATGGAGCGAGGTGCCGAGATGTGAGGTGAACACGACGCCGCTAACGCGAGCTAGGGACCCGTGTTGAACTCCATTGCCGTGTAAAGAGTGACGCTCTCTTGTAGAGGCTGCTCTACAGCAAGAGGCGGATGGCTGCTGATCTGCGATCAACTCACAGCTCTCCCCGCTGGGGTGTTTCGATCAGTGGAATTATTTCCGAAATTCGCCTGTCCATGGGAGTCCCGAGGCTCTGCCTTCAGTAGGATGCTACTACAATGGGATGCGTGGCCAAGTCCTGTTTGAGTAGTTGTTGCTTTGCGTGGTTGCTCTTGTTCTGCTGTGTTGTGTGGTTGCTTTGTCATGTCGTTTTTGTTGTGTTGCGTTGTTTGAATGTTGTGGTGAGTTTGTTGCGTTGTTCTGTTGTTGTTGCTGCACGAACCAAGCCCGTAAAGCTCGCATGAGTTTCTATAAACGCTCAATATCACCTCGAATCATTCACTCACGAAGGCAGACCTCACTGCTCAGTGACACTGCGGGATAACTCGTAGCACAAGAAGGCATCATGACGATGATGACGATGACTGTGAATGTCAATAACGCGGTAGCTTTACAAACTGAACGCCACTCGTGCCGAGCGTCGTCTCTAACCCTGTGCGCAGCGACAAAGCAGAGACCGTTCCTGGCAGTGCTGGCTCCGTTGGTAAAACGCGCCGCTGGGAACGCTCTTCAGGTGGTTGGTGTCCAGAGCCAGATGAGTGAGCTGAGTCAGTTTGTCAAACACCTTCGCGGGGAAAGACGCGAGTTCTTCACTGCGCAGAAACCATTAACCATAGGCACTCACCTACTTAGTATCAAATGTATCAATACATAGATTACGTAATAAAAAAAGATCCACTGCAAACCATAGTCACGACCATGCGATGTATTAATCCACTTCGAACCTGCACACGATCTCCTGTCATACTCCATCTCCATGGTGGATGTCCTTCTGGGCGCGTTCCCTCCCTTGCCTGCTACTCCGCTATTGTTATAGACCATGGTCAATGTGCATTGACCATCGTGGATTAATCCATCACCCCTTCTCACGCCGTATCCTGGCCAAGCCTGCTTACTTTAACTATCCGTTTGATGTAATTTGCGAGAGTTTATTCTCTGATACACGTGTTCCTCTCTCTATCTCTCAATGTAATGCCAAGCATGCAACTCCCAGTTCGTCTTTGTGCACTTCTCTGTTATTTTACGATATTATGCGTCATAATCACCGTGCTTCTGTACAAATCTGCAACGCCAGGTGGTTACCATTGATCAACATTACTCTTCTGTACACACATTATGATGTTATTTTTTATTGTGAAGTTCAGCTTCACAAGAGCACTCCAGCCTTCTCTGGTTGCCTCTTTAGTTGCATTGTTTTGGTCTCTTCATAGGTATTGGAGAAGCCTCGGGAATGAAAACAATTTCCGTTCAAATTACAGCTTTTGGCGCGTTGTCTCTCATTCGGAAACTCATACGGAGGATGCGCTGAGAATGCCAGTGAGGCAACGAGTCTAACCTCGATGTACCACAATCTCTGTGGGACTGTAAGCTGTGTAGCCATCACCAGTCGCGCCCCTGGGAACGCTCTTCAGTTGATTGTTACTCAAATCAAACCGCTGCAGACTCCCGAGGCGGTCAAACACCCCAGCGGGAAGAGCCTGCAGCTGATTTCTATTTAGATCCAGAATTGTCAGCTGGGTGAGACTGTTAAACACCCCAGCGGGTACTAATAACGTGTGCTGATGATATTGACCTCTTAGTTCAAAGTGGCCTCCATTCACGTCTAGAGACCTCAATGCTATTTACTTCAAGCGACCTCTCACCACTCTCATGGATATTCGTAAGAGAGAGCGACATCAATTCACATGAAGTTATTAACCGGACCCATTTCCATTCACTTTCACGCAGACACGGGAGTTGACAAAACCTCCATTCGCTATCATAGACACGTGTTGTTTAAAACAACGTTGACTCGCTTCACATGAAACCTGGCAGTTGAAGTGTGATTCCGGTTACCTCCATCGAGACCTGCTCGTTATAATTAATGTAATTTACTTGCAAAGCCATCTGTGAGCTAAAGAGATCTTAAATTACTTTAATGGAAAGACGTGTCACGTCGCCGTCATCCTCTACGCTCGACCGTCCTTTGCTCTGCTGGGTCCTCAGGCGAGTCTCGGCGCACCACTCACACAGCCCTCGCAGTCACCTCACACATCGGGTTCGGAGTCGCGGGTCATGCGTTTTTGTCAGGGTGCGTCACGTGTCGGTCGGGTTGTTGCCGGCGATGGTTGGCCGCGGCGTTCTGTTCAATTGTTGGCCTTGGGCCGCAATGTTATCGCCGCGGCGGCAAGATTGTCCGCTGTTATCTGAACCGTAGAGGGTGGGGAGGTGTGGGTGCTTGTAGATACCGGTGCATCCATGACCATCATTTCAGAAATAATTTTTATTATTTGCCGCCAAAATCGCGCACCATTCGGCCCATTGACACCCCATGTTTTTTCCGCGAATGGACAGTCCTTAGGGATTGTTGGCCAGATATCGGCTACAGTCTGCATAGGTGACATTCGGTTAACGGTTCCTGTACTTGTTTCAACATTCCTAACCCGACCCTGCCTGTTAGGGACCGATTGTCTAGGTGAAATGCGGCTAAAGATGCTTGTGGATCAAGGCTGCATTGAGTTGCCATCGGGCCGCCGAATGGCATTTTTATCATCGTCGACTCAATTCCGCATGGCTAATGCATCGGTCCTAGCGCTGGACAACCAAACGGTCAAAATTCCCCCCGGTGCACAGATGTTCATTCCCTGGCTCCTGAAAAAACAACTCGACCGGGAAACGACTACAGAAGGGATGTTGTTGGTCCCCTCCAACAAGGCTGCTCGTGGTACAACTTCATTGTATGCTCAGACTTTGGTGGCAAACGATCATAAACCATTTATCCAGGTTTTGAACGTTGGTTTGGTAACGTCGGTCATACAAGAGGGTACTGTTTTGGCTCACGCGTTGGTCGCGTGTCGCGAGGGGGAAAACGACGGGACTGTAGGAGTTGAAGTGGCTCCGCGGCAGGTTGAGGAATTTGACGAGTCGTGGATTGACGCTGACATCATTTCCCCGTCAAACATTCCATGGGGGGCACCCATTGTGCTTGTTAAAAAGCAGGACGGGAGTCTGAGGTTTTGCGTCAACTTCCGCAAACTCACCAAAGTCTCCGTGGCTGATGCGTACCTGCTCCCACGGATGGATGACTCGTTAGACGCTTTGTCGGGGGCGCATTTCTTCTCTACCCTTGATTTGCTGTCGGGATTCTGGCAGTTGCCCTTGGACGGCAGCTTTAGACCGATGACTGCGTTCCGCACACCCCAAGGGTTGTTCGAGTTTAACCGGCTCCCAATGGGACTTCACTCGGGTACTCTCCCATGTGGAGCAGCGATACTGCGTGATGTGCCGTGAGTTGCTGGCTATTGTTCACTTCGTCCAGCAGTACTGTCCCTACCTCAATGGAAGGAAGTTTGAGGTATGCTCAAATCACGCGGCTCTCCAGTATGTACTACGAGCCGTCTGGCCAGCTCTCCCAACATAGTCACTTCCGTGTCCTCGTCTCGGAGGCCGCTTTCCTATCTTACAGTTAAATGCTAATTTCTCACATTAACGTCACTAGCCCCGGCCACTTCTTTATGACCCTTGGGCTACACCCATTTCAAAAGGTTAAAAACAGTCTGCCTCAGCAGCAGACCATGCTTCCCCACCTGATGACGGACGCTTGTGTGGTACCCGAAACGTCGTGTTTTTATTTTATTTTATACCTACGTGACTTTACCGAAAGAACTACAGAGTATGGATTCCTGCAGTCACGAAAGCTTCAAATCAAGATTGACCAGGTACTTATTTGAGGCTGAGCCAGGCAATTTCAGGGCTGCACTTAAATCTGTTACTGCTCGCTGGAGAGATTGACAACTTACCCGGGGAATTGAGCGTCGCCTGCGCTGAGCGCTTTGACCGAGTTCAGCTCGAGCCGCCTGTATACAGCACACCGATGGAAAGAGCAAGCCAATCTAACGGCAAGGCTCTTAAACTAGTTTAGGTCCAGATCGAAGTGAGTCAGTGTCGGCAACTTCCCTGCGCCTGCGGGCCAAGCCGTTAATTTGTTATCACCCATTAATAGCTACCGTAGACTCACCAGCCAGGGCAGGTGCTGTATTCATTCGGTCTGATTGTGTTCCTGAAGTCACAGCCTTAGTAGACTCCACGACGCCTTCTGGATCTTTACAAATTATTTGTTGATACTGCCCTAGCCTCGGTACATGAGCACAGATAACAATACAAACTCAACACAGACACACAGGCTGCCAAAATGGGAAATATATAAAAGGTGACAATTTCAGGCGATGGCCCTTCTTCATGTCTCGTAAATGCACGTTCCTGTAACGTTTCATAGATGTTTTGCCCTTTAAGGCAGTGCTATTGATGAATGTATAGAATTGTTTGTGGATTTTCAGGTCATTTTCGGCCCTGTATACAGACGCGTGCAGCGTGTAACTATTCACTTTGTGTTTGAACGGAGACGCTTGCGTTAACGCACACGGAAAGAAGCACCGTGAATTCTATTCACGTAAAATTTACATCCAGCGGTCACTTACATGCAGGGCACGGAATGGTTTGACACGCTTATAATGACAACGTAATTGCGCCAGTGTTCTGTGAAGGGTCATGATGATTTCTGATCGCCTGGTGAATCTGCAGCATCTGTATCTGGAGAGAAACCAGCTTTCGCTGTTTGACAAACTGACCCAGCTCACTTATCTGGGTCTGCACACCAATCTGCTGAAGAGCGTTCCCAGGGACGCGTTTGACTAACGGAGCCAGCGCTGCCAGGAACGGTCTCTGCTTTGTCACTGGGCCCCGGAAGAGAGACAACGCTCGTCATGAGTTAGAATGAAGTGTGTAAAGCTCCCGCGTTGTTGACATACACAGTCACCATCACCAACAGCGTCGTTGTGATGTCCTCTCGCGCTATAAGTTATTATGCAGTGTCACTGAACATCAGTGAAGATTAAATGAGTCAATCGTGTGAATAATGAGAGCTGATATTCATCGTTTACATAAACTCGTGCATGCTGTGCGGGTTTCTGTTTAGCAACAAACGCAAGAATAACAACCACACAACAACAAAGACAAAGATACCCGTATAGCCTTTACATAATGTTGGGGTAAGTGCTGCAAAAAACAAACTAATAATAACCACACAACAACAAGCACCACAGATCAACGCAATACAAAAAAATACAATGACGAAACAAATCTACACAACAACACCACAGTACAACAACAACAACAACAACCACACGAAACTATTGTACAAATAGCACCAACAACATGACACCCTCCTCACACAGGAATTGGCCACACTTTCTGCTGTAGCAGCATCCTCCTGAGTCTCGGGACTCGATGAGGCCTCCCATAGACAGGCGAATGACGGAATTAATTCCACTGATCGAGTAAAAATTGTTCCAGAGGGAATGCGAGGCGAGCGCTGAACACCGTGCGGGTCGCTGTACTGCACCGCACAGACAGTGGGCACGGCATGGAGCGAACTGTCGAGATGTGAGGTGAACACGACGCCGCTAACGCGACCTAGCGACCCGTGTTGAACTCCACTGCCGTGTGAAGAGCGACGCTTCCTTGTAGAGGCTGCTCTACAGCAAGAGGCAGAGGCTGCGGATCTGAAATTATTGCTCAGTGATGAACTCACAGCTCTCCCCGCTGGGGTGTTTGACAGTTTAACGCAACTGACTTATCTCAACCTTCATACCAACCAGCTGACAGCTCTACCCGAGGGGGTGTTTGACCGACTGGTCAATCTGCAACAGCTGTATTTGTATCGGAACCGACTGTCGTCCATACCCGCCGATATGTTTGACAAACTGACGAATCTGAAGGAACTTAAGCTCTACAGCAACCAATTGACGGTTCTACCCGAGGGACTGTTTAACCGCCTCATGAATATAGATGTTCTGGATTTGTGCTGCAACAAATTCACACAGCTGCCCACTGGCATTGACAAACTCACCAAGCTGAAGCTGTTGGCTCTGCACGGAAACCAGCTGAAGAGCGTCCCTGGCACAAAGCATGACTGTTGAGCATGGAATCAGCTGCTGCTGACGATCTAAATGCTCGTGCTGATGATGAATGATGACACTGATGATGATTTAGAAAGCTTTTCCTGGTAGTAACCTCCTGATTACACCAGCCCACAGGGAATTATTTAGTCCGTCCGTCATGCAGGGAGGAGCTGGGTGGGGAGTGTGGGGAGGGACTGAGTGGGGAGGGTGGGGAAGGGCTGGGTGGGGGAGGGTTGTGCCTTTAACACGTTCCTTCGGAGTGGGCAGGTAGGAACTTGGTTGGACAGCGCATTCGTGCACGACAGACATATGCAGGACAGACAGACAAATAATCCCTGGTGGGCAGTGTGGAACCTGTTGGTCTTACCTGTACAAAAGACAACTTGACTTGAGGTAGCCAGGCAGCCAGCCAGGTAGCCAGCCCCCTTAACTATCGGCCCCTCCCCCTTTCTTTAGGCCCTTCCCCTTACCCCCCTCCCTTAGGCCCCTCCCCTGACCCCCACTCCCTCAGGCCCCTCCGCTGACCCTCCTTCCCTTAGGCCCTTCCCCTGACCACCCCCCCTCCCTTAGGCCCTTCCCCTGACCACCCCCCCCCATATCCTTAGGC